TTCACCTCCGCAGCGAGTTTCCTTACCTTCAGGCTGACGCAGAGAACGCGCACGTGTGGGCACTGCCAGTCGCGTTTCTGCCCGCCACCGAAGCACCCAGCAGTGGCCCTTGAGCTTTCCTCCACCCTAGTCTGGCTGCCTCTGTAAAGTGCGAACTTTTCGGGCCGGCCCATTGGGCACAAAAGCCCCAAAGGATCTCCGCCCCCTTTTTCCATTCCTGAGATGGCAAATCCAAGCAATTGCCCTTTTGGCAGAGTTCTTCCATAGGAGGCCCCAATTACTTTTGCTCCTGTTGGCTTCCCCTCCTTGCCCAGGAGACCAGTTCCTCCTATTGACCTAGAAAGAAAACTCTTCTTGACTCATGTCCTGGTTCTGAGCTTCACAAAGAGCGCCCAGCAAAAAAAAGTTCACGTCGCACGTTGTAATGGCCTGAAGATCTTGCATTTAGCAGCCCCCTTCGTCCTTTCTGGTTGTAGGTTTCTGGAACAGATCGTGAGCTTCATCGAGACAATTCAACTGGAAAACCAAGACTGGTAGACGCTCTTTTTCTTCAGACAATAGGCAGGAGCCAGGCAGAGTCCAAGGATTCTTGGAACACCTATCTTTTCTTTGGAGGACACTAAGTTCTATTTGAAGACAAAGTTCAATATGGCAACAGGACTGATGGGACACGAAGGAGTCGTTACCGTGGTTTGGTGACAGTTGTTCAAAACGACAGTGTCTTAAGGAAAGGTGGACCAAGGAACTCCTGAACTTTTGGGTTGCATTAAGTGAAAAATCAGCATGGCTCAGGTAAAAAAGCTCTAGAGTCCTCCTCCAAGATCACTGGGAAGCCTGTTGCAGTTTCACTCTTGAATGCTGCTCTAGTCAACATATTGACCAACCCCAGTGATCCAAGCTCTGTATTAAGCACCAGGGGGAGATCTAGAGGAAGGAAAGGAGACAGGCCACAGCCCCTGCCTTCAGGGAGCTTCCAGTCAAATGAAGGAGGTAGGCTATCCTGCATCACAGGCACTGATGGGACATTTGCAAAGCAACGTGTACTCAGTTTACTTTTGGTACATTAAGTGCTGAGGGGTGTAAGGGAGTGAATAGTATGGTGAATGCTTCATTTGTTTTTTTTCAACAGGAATTTATTGAGTTCCTGTTGCATGCAAGGCATTGTGCTGGGACTACAAAGATGAATAAGATTGTCCTTGTCCCCAGTGAGCTTCCAGGCTAGTTGGGGTCGGGAGAGGGATGGAAAGACATTTATTTTTATATTCACAATGCCTTGTATAGTGGCTAGGTAGTAGTAGAGACTCTGAATCTGTTGATTGAGGAATGTGCAGTAATAGGGGTATGTACATAGGAGAGAACAGTACTTCTGCTTGGATAGAAAAAGAAAATGAAGGTTGACAGATAGAAGGGCGTTTGGACAAAAGGAACAGCATGGGCAGGAGCTTAGAGTCATGGGAAAACGTGATGAGGTTCTGGGTACTGCAGGTAGTTTGGTAGTTATAGACTAAGGGATTTAAATGGGGATGGTTATGGAGGTAGCATTGACAGTGATAGGTGAGGAAGTTGTTCCCTGCAGTAAGCAGAGTGTAACGTAAAGCCCTTTTATGCCTTGCTAAGTTAAGCAGCGGAGTAGCATCAGAGCAGTGTATGTAGGAGGTCATTATCATTGTGGAGGTAGAGGATGGATTGGAGAGACAGAATGAGCAGATAGGCTGTTGTAGTCATCTGAGTAGAATAGCTGTGTGCACACATCTCCAGAGCTTCTCCCAAGCTTTCTTCTAGGGAACCTTCCCTACCAGTCTCACCAGGATGGCAGTCTGATTGTAGTATAATTGGCTTTCCTCCAGCTGCTTCTGAATGCACAGCTTCCTCCTTTCCATATAGAATAGGGGCCCATCAGTTTCTTCTTCCTTTGTCTTTTGCAACCCACTTCTCAGCATTGTATTCACTCTTCTGAGAAGGCTGCCTTCCACTAAGGACTCAGCTTTGTGCTGGACACTGCTAAGCATTTTACATCTTAGTTTACTTTTCATCAACCGTGTAAGGATAAGCATTATGACAGGCATTTTTCATGTAAGGAAACTAAGGCTTGCAAAGGTGAATAACTTGCCCGAGATTATACAGTGCAAACAGCTAAGCTAAGATTTTAACTCTGGATCTTTCACTCCAAAGTCCTAGAAGTTGGAGGGAGGGGTCCTAGAATATACTGATCATCCAAAAGGAATTTCTTCATAAATTTGGGCATTTGCTGACCAACAATTTCTTAAAAGTTTTTTTTCAGTAAAGTATTTTCTTTCATGCTGACTAACCGAAGTCAGCCTGAAGAATGTAGCAGTGGAATGAGGAAATGTACTTAAACATACCTTACTTAAGTAATTTTTTAAACTATATGTGGAGCAAGGAATGTGAAAAAATGTGATCATACATGCACACATATAAATGGCCTAAAAGGTCAAGAGAAATACTCAAGAAAACCTTCCAAGTGGTTTAATTTTTCTATCAGTTGCAATTGGTAATACTTAAAGAGTTTAAAATCTAAAGGGAGAAATAGCCTGTAATCCCAGGACTTTAGAAGGCTGAGGCTGGAGGATTGCTTAAGCTCAGGAGTTCCACACCAGCCTAGGCAACATGGTGAAACCCTGTCTCTATAAATGCAAAAAAAAAATAGCTGGGCGTGGTGGTGTTCTGAAGTCCCAGTTATGAGATAGAGGTAGAAGGATCGCTTAAGCCAGGGAGGTCAAGACTGCAGTGAGCCGAGATCGTGCCACTGCACCCCAGCCTGGGCAACAGAGTGGCACCCTGTCTCAACCAACAAACAAAAAATGAAACCAATAGAAAATACAGTTGGCACCAGTGAAGTCTGCCAATCGAAAGTGGGCTCTGAAGCTAATTTTTTTTTTTTTTTTTTTGGAGACAGAGGGAGTCTCGCTCTGTCGCCAGGCTGGAGTGCAGTGGCGTGATCTCAGCTCACTGCAGCCTCCGCCTCCCGGGTTCAAGCAATTATTCTGCCTCAGCCTCCCAAGTAGCTGGGACTGCAGGTGCGTGCCACCACATCTGGCTAATTCTTGTATTTTTAGTAGAGACGGGGTTTCACCTATTGTCCAGGCTTGTCTCGAACTCCTGACTTTGTGATCCGCCCACCTTGTTCTCCTGAAGTGCTGGGGTTATAGGTGTGAGCCACCATGCCTGGCCCAACTGAGGGCTGTTGAGAGAGGAAGGAGGAAGGTCCTGAAGGAATCTCCCATGTCAGTGGGTTAGCAAGATGGAACCTCATACCCACTCACAGTTAAGGCCTAGAAATACCTTCAAAGAAATATGTAGTCACACACACTGCCTAGTTCTGATGACAAAGGTGTCGGTAATACTTGATTATTTACTTGATCTGTATTTAAATGCTGAGAGATGACAAGTCATTCCTGGTGAGATGACTTAGGGAGGACTCTTGAAGGAAGCAAGGCTTTGGCAGTGAGGAGGGACATTCACTGGAGCGAAGCAGTGTGTAGCTGGGTGTAAAAGGTAGTTCTATAGAGAATGGCAGTCTATTTTTGCCCTGCCCTGCCCTGCCAGGTGACCTGACACCTCATCTCCTTTCAACTTAGGCAAGTCTCCTGGCTTGTGAAGGCCTAGCAGGTGTGAGTTTGGTTCCCACTGCAGCCAGCAAGAAGATGATGCTGAGCCAGATTGCCGGCAAGCAGGCCGAGAATGGCGAGCGGGCAGGTAGCCCTGATGTGCTGAGGTGCTCGAGTCAGGTACAGCGCTTGAGTCCATTGTGGCACCTGGGGATTGGGTGGCCCGAGCTCTCTGCCAGGAGATACCAAGCTCTGATTCCTTGATGCTTCTGCATAGGGAAGTGGGGCAAGGGGATCCAGCTGGGGAATGGATGAACATTGGTATTTCAGAAAGCTAAGGAAGGTCTTTTGTGTACCTTCAACTCTTTAAGACCAGGTGATTGGAGAAGAAATAGTTGTATACTTCCTCTAAGCTTTCGGGGCAGGTGGTTTACTCTCATTTATGAATTTTGTCTGAGAGCTGCATTGAGTCTCATCTCATCTTCTGAGATGGGCTGTGAGTTTAGATTTAATTTGTCTTCAAAGGGTCACCGAAAAGACAGTGATAAGTCCCGGAGCCGCAAAGATGATGACAGCTTGTCTGAGCCCTCTCATTCAAAAAAGACTGTTAAAAAGGCAGGTAATGGGGTGGCCCCCCAACTCATACAGTTTGGTAATGGGGTAATATTCCTCCTCCTTCCCTCTACCATGTAACCTGGAGCTTTCTCTGGATGCTTTGATCTCTGATAGCCAGTGAGTGAGTCACCCAGATTTCATCTAGAGACTACCTTGGTAGTTGATCTCTAGCCTTGCTGAAACAGTAGAGTACAGGTTGGGGAGCATGAGATCCCAGATCCCGTGGCATGGGGGCAGGCAGGCTCCAGCTCAAGTCATACTGAGACTGCTGGGTTTGACAGGATAGACAGCTTACCCACTCCACCTCCTTCCCCAAAGGGTCTCTTACCTCCATGGAGTACAGGAGATGGCAGCACCTTTAGACAGCATCAGAGAGGTTCCTTTCTTCAGCAGCTGGAAGTGGACCCAGAGTAGAACAGTCTCTCCAGGAAGAGGGCAGTGGTGGCCTCATGACATGCCTGATTATTGCCCCCAGGTGGTGGTAGTGGAACAAAATGGTTCTTTTCAAGTAAAGATTCCCAAAAATTTTGTTTGTGAACACTGCTTTGGAGCCTTTCGGAGCAGTTACCACCTAAAGAGGCACATCCTTATTCACACTGGTAAGTGTCTTGCTTATATTCAAAAGAGGGAGAATAGTCTATCGCTTGTATTCCATGTCTGTTTGTGGCTCTAGTTGGGTTTATTTTAATGGGTATTAGAAATGAAGGAAGAAGATAAGTCAGTGAAGCAGAGAGATTGCATGGCTTTGTATCTGTTGTCACTGAGACCAGCACCTTTGGGGACCCCTCCCCATTTATGATCACTTAGGTGTCTACATATTACTAATAGCTAAAGTTTCTGAGAAAATAACTGGAATGAGGTCCCTACCATACATACCTCCCCACATTCACTTCTCTCTCCACTTGGGCCAGGTGAGAAGCCATTTGAGTGCGATATATGTGATATGCGTTTCATCCAGAAGTACCACCTGGAACGCCACAAGCGTGTGCACAGTGGTGAAAAGCCTTACCAGTGTGAACGGTGTCATCAGGTAAGGCTCATCCCTGCTGCAATCCCCCACACACTTTTCCTTCCCCAAGAATCAGGGCCACCCTCCCCTCCTGCCTGACAAAAGAGCCACCAGCATTGCTCGCCATATAATAGTTGGCACATCAGGGTGAGGTGCATCTGTCTGGCCTTATGCAGCTGATCATGGGGAGGAGCAGTTAGAACATTGTAATAATAATAATAATAATAATAATAGCATTTCATGATCACTTACTCTGTGCCAGGCACTATGAGAGCATACTTTACACAGATGATTTTATTTAATCTTCACATTGACTCCCTAAGGTAGCTGTATTGTCCTTATTTCACATATGGGAAAATTGAGATTCAGAGAAGTTAAGTTTCCCAAGGACACAGCAGATCACGAACAGAGCTGGGATTCAGTCCAACTTCAGAGCTCATGCACTTTGGAGGAAGAGATACAATCTTTGCCCTGGGGGTCAGTATCTGATCTGATGAGAATGTAAGAGCTGGGGCCAAAACAAGACAAGAACAAGAGATGAGAAATGATAATAGCTAACACTTCCTGGATGCATTGCTAGGTCCCAAGCTTTGCTCCGCACTCTTACATTGAATCTTCAGACACTAGAATTAAAGCTCTATGAGGGCAGAGACTTCGTTCCTCTGGTTCTCTACTCTGTATCTGCCTTGAGATAGATACTCAATAAATCTTTGATGACTAAAGCAGCTGTGCTGTGAGTAGGTACTTTTAGCCTCGCTTTACAGTTTTGTAGATGAGTGTACAGATTCTGGGCTGTTAGGTAACTTGCCCAAGGTCACACAGCTGCTGAGCGATAGAGCCAAGATTCAGCCCCAGGCGCTCTGGCCCGAGAGCTTGCATTCTCCACCACCGTGTGCTCTTGCTGTCTGCGCGCATGCTGAGGGGATGGAGAATGTGGTATCTGCCTCCTGTGAGAGGAATGAGGTAGCCAACAGGTAGCTGAGTTTCCCCCTCAGGCACTTAACCCTCCCTTTCTTCTCAGTGTTTTTCTCGGACAGATCGATTACTCAGACACAAACGGATGTGCCAAGGGTGCCAGTCCAAGACTTCCGACGGGCAGTTTTCTCTATAGGCGCAAGGGGCCCCCGGGTGGTGGGAGTGATCAGAAGAACCTGCCGAAGAGCACACCCCCTCTGGTCTGATGGTCCCACCAACGCCCCATGTGAACCTGTCCCACTCCTGGAGGAGTGGACCCAGGAGACCAGAAGAATGCATCAGGGGACAGTGGCCCCAGAACCTCAGCTCTGTAAATAATCTGAGACTATGAGTATCTCGGGGAAGTTCTTACAGCATTCCTGGGTAGGAGATCTAGTCCCTGGACCCTTGGCTGAGGTCATAGGTGGGGACTCAAGGTACAGGACCAAGACTGAAGTGTGGCTCCCACAACCTTGGACTCCAGCTGGCAGCTGAAATGGAAAAGATTGGGGAAGGGGATTTGTTTGTTCTGTTCTTGTTTTTGTTTATCCAAAAGCAACTTCAGCAGGTACACTGTGGACACAGGTAATCCAGAGTTATAAGCGTCCTGGTCCAGCTCTCCCCAAAAATTGGGTTTTTAGTTGTAGCAGCTCCTCAGTGTTTCACAGTCCTGCACTTCACCTCCTTTTTGAGGAAGAATAAGATCAGGAATGGCAGCTGAGCTTACTTTGGCTTCCTTATACACTGTAGGGATAAAAGGAAAAACGGGGTGGAGCAGACGAGGACTGGATCCAAAAAGTGGATGGCACCTCTTCCTTCCTCAAGGGAAAAGGAAGAGTTGTGCCTGTGGGTGTTGTCATGGCCCATGTCACATTGGCACCTGATGGCATCAGCTCAAGTGCCTTTAGGAGGAAACTTGGGTGAGAGTGGCCCGTGAAGCCCTTTTCTTCTTTTCTTGGGGAGTCGGTCTTGGAGATGGTTTGTGGCTACCTCGCTGCCATTGACTCCTAAAGTGAGACATGTGTTGAGCAAGGAGTCATGGATGTCAAAGTGGGTTCTCTCTCCTTGTGCCCTCTTAGGAACAACCCAAGACTGGTCCCAAGTTGGCTAACAGCTGCTCAAGAAACAAAGGAATCTGGGGTCTTCTGACATGCCTGTTGAGCAGTAGGAGCTGTTCTCCCTCCCCAAGTCCTATCACTGTATTCAGGTAGAGGAGGTTGGGAGGGGTCTGTCGTTTGGTCCCAAAAAAACAAGATCTCAGCTTCCTTCCTAATGGCCATCCCTACCCAACAGAGTGTGGGGGATGGGGGTGGGGGTGCTGCAGAGAAAAGACTAAAGAAGAAACCTAATGTAGGTTCCATTCTTAACCATATTCTTTGCTCCTCTCTGCTCCAATACCACCACCTTGTCCACTCCCAAAAAAGTAATCAGGGGTGTGTGTGTGGATGTGTGTGTGTGAGATATGAGTGCATGTATTTGTATGCTTGCAAGAGATGGCATAGTAATGAGCCAAACACTTCTCTGGCCCTCACCTTCGGGGAGGATGAGTGGAAAATAGCCTCCTCTTGCCCAAACATGAAGGGTGCTTGAGGTCTCAGCAGGAGCTGAAGAACACAATTTAGGGGACAGAAGGGCTTTTGTTTTGGAGGGGTTTTTTTTGTTTGTTTTTTTGGTTTTTTTTAGATTAAATTCAACAGCCTAGTGGTTAGGGTGTTTCTAACCCAAGCCAGGGCTTGTGAACATGAATTTTCTAAGGTGAAATAAACCTTTTCTTTCTGCTAAAGAAAGAATCCTTATGGGAAGTTCTGGGGTTTGGTTGACCCCCACTGTAACCTGACCTGCCCTGTGGCGGGTAAGGGAACTATCTTAGTAATCATGGAGACTGGGTGAACCTGAGTACCAAGCTAGTAGGGTCTTTTTTTCCCAGAAAACGTAAAGAATGGGATGATTCCTGGCTGTTACCTATTCTGGAGGGGTGGGGTTGGGGAGAGGGTTGTCCATACCTCTGTGGTATGAGTATTTCACGGAAAAAGCAGGCATGGCACCCATTCGATTTTCCCTGACAGCATCTGAGATCCTTTCGGGGAGACGCTGAGGAGTGTGTGCTGCCGTGTACTCATTGCTTTATGCTGACACTCCCATTTGATGTGGTCCAGAACTTAGACCTCAGTCCTTGGATCAGCCCTGTGGTCCCTGCAAGCAGGGGCATCTTTCTGCATGTGAGCCAGCCCCCTTCCTGTTCAAGGGTTCTGCTGGAGCTGGGGTTTTCGTCCTTCTCTTCTGGGATGATTCACCCCACATCTTCCAGCACCCTGTAAACCATTTTAAAATGTTTAGAAAACTATCCTCCCAAAAATGCATTTGAAAATGAGAGGCCTTTCTCCCTGCCACTTACAGCTAATCTGGGATAGGGGTGTATGTGGAGAGACTCACATGAGTGACCTATGCCCCTATGTGTACTAATGTGTGTACTGGGTCAGAAGGTGCCCTGGGTTCCCACAGACCTTGGTTTCCTGCCTGGATGGGTGGGAGCGAGGGAACTTCAGAGAATATGTGCGAACAGCCATAGCAGAGCCACCCCTGCCAGGGACCCAGTGAGGAAAACTCAGGAGCAGGTGGTTGGTTCAGTTCCCACGCCGATATCTGGGGTAATGGATGTGTGAGAAGAGAGAAGCAAAGCAGTGAAAGGAGTTATTCCACATCCAGAGGGCCCGGGAGTCCCACAGATACCCCAGGGAAGCCACTGACTCAGACCGCTGCAGAGGCTCCTGGGCCCAATGCCTCACCCCTGCTGGCCAGCATGGGGCCTAGCACTGGAAGATGCCTCAGGTGTGTTTGGAGTAGGGGAGACGGAAATAGGGCAGGCTCTCAGAGACCAGGACGGAGAGTCAGGGAACCTGGGAAAGAGTAGTGCCAGTTCCAGGTAGGCTGCTGCACCAGGCCCTACCAGCCCAGGCTGTAAAGAGTCTGCTTTGCCCCAAGTCTTTTCCGTCCACCCCCAACAGCCTCGTCATCACTTAGCTACTGATCGCGCCCATGGCTTGACATTGGAGGGTTACATTAGTGGAGTCTGCCACAGCTTCTAACCCTCTCCCCAGATGCCCTTTGCCTCTGCTGTGGCCCTGGGGTTTTATCAACTGTCCCCTTCCTATCCTCCTCTCCACCTTCTTTTTTTTTTTTTTAAATAATATACTTATTTTGCTATGGGGGAGGGGAATATCAAATGGACAAGATCACTTTTAAATGGTAGTTTTTATAAGATGTTATAAACTTGTATCTTTTTACCATTAAAGTGCAGTGTATGTTCCTTCGTGATATATTTAGGATATTTAAATAAAAGGAAAATGGGGCTTTTCTACTATCTCCTCTTTGGGGAAGCTTTTTCATACTGGTTTTAGTTGTTTTCCTTCCTTTTTTCTCCCTGTATAATCACCCCACAACTTCCAGCACCCTATAAGCCATTTTAAAACCCCTTCTCCACAGAGGAGCAAACAAGTAGGAGCAAAAACAGGGCATCAGTTCTGAGCAAGAGGAAAAAAAGCACACGCAGCAGAATGGAAGGGGGTTAGACACCAACAGATGCAGTGTCTCTGGTCTGGAACCCACCTGCATCCGCAGAGGCCCTTTCCAGACCTGGCTTCCGGGGTCCCAGGGCGCACCTCAGGATTCTCCTGCACATTCGCGCTTGGGCCCCTCTCCCTGCCCTCAGGTGGCAGGAGGAAGATGGACAAGAACTTTCCCGAGGCCAGGCTATAAACAGCCTGCTTTGGCCTTGATGAGGTAAAGAAAAGTGACAGCTGTGGTCTGAGGTAAGACTCTTTATTATATACTTGGGTGGGGTAGCCCAGGTGGATGCAAGGTTGCAGGCATGGGAAGCAGCCCTCTTGGGTGTCACTCTGAAAATGAAGTAGGCTGGTGGCCGCTCCTCGTCAGTGAATTAGTCCCCTACCAAGGTCTTACAGACCCACCCTTCCTTTCACCCTTCAGTTCCCACTGTCCTCCAAGGAGAGGAGCCTTGGGTGAGTGTCCCTCCCTCCTTCAGAGAGTGGGACTGTCTGCCTCTTGAAAGCGAGGGTTGATGGTGGTCGTGATGGCACTTTTGTAGAGAGGATTACTGTCCTGAGGAAAGATGTTGCAGATTATGAGCAAAAATCCCAGGATTCCTTGTCCCCTTTCTAGACCTAAGAGGCCAGTCTTGAGCCAAATCCTAGGAGCTGATGGAAGTTAGCAGAGGGATTGGTTACATGTGCCAGGGGCTGGGGGAACCCAGTGGGAGGAATCAGGGATGGGCTTGTGGTGGGGAGACAGCTAAAAGGGGGCCTAACCAGGAAGTTTCACCTGCTTCCAGTTGAGTTGTTGCCGCTCCTTCTCAAAGCGACTGTATTCCCGGCGGTCATAGATTTCCACCGAGAGCCGGTAAGCCAGGACCAGCCCCAGCCCCACTGCCACGATGCCCCCTACGCAGCCCAGCACAATGGCCTGGGTGTGGTCTGCTCCCTCTGTGAACAAGAAACCAGACACACTTGTGGGAGCTGGAGCATAGGGACAGATCAACAGTTGTTCACAGTGTGTCCAGCCTGTCCAACCCTGTCACTGAAAGCAAAGGGAACCCAGCAAGGTCCAGGGTTATTCTCACTGCCCAGGGCCTTAGCCTTGTCCACTTGCTCAGTCGCCTCTGCCTTTGTTCTGGATTCACAGTTCTGCCTCAGCCCCCAGCCTGTTTCCCATTATCTTCACTCTGCATCCCCAGAGTTGAGACCCTGCCCATCAAACTTCCAGGGTTTGTGGCATCCCTGACCACTTACTTTCTTGGGGTCTCACTCTGAGCACGACCCTGCCTCTGGCATCATCCTCCACCAAGAAGAAGAACAAGTGGTTGTCCAGGGTCCTCTCTTTGCACCAGCCATCATCCAAGATAGGGGCCAAGACCAGGGTCACATTGGTATGGGCACAAGCTGTACTGCAATTGGTGGCCAGGAGGCCAGTCCCAAAGGCCCCACACTCTGCACAGTCCCTATGCAGTAGATGCCAATAAGTTACCAGCTGGGTAGTTGTCACCCAATGCCCTTTACCCAACTACAAGCAGGAAGGAGAGTAGGCAGATGGGAGTGGCTCAACAAGCCCCACTGTGCCCCTGCTCCCAAGATGCAAGACCTGAGGCCTCACCGGTGTCTCTCGCATGGTGTCTTGCAGCCTGGGCATTGGTCGCATAGAGCACCGTAATAGCCATCCGAGCACTGGCAGCGGTTGCATTTGCAGCGTCCATGCCCACTGCAGAGCCCTCCCTCGGGACTGATGCAACTGTCCATGTCCCCACTGCATTCGCATGCTCTCCCCGTGCGGTTGGCATGACAGTGACATACTCCACATTGGCAGCGACCAAAGCCTGGGGTAGAGCCATGCAGAGGGTGACAACCATACTCCACACACACAGTTGGCCATCACATGGCACCACAAGCGCATGCATCCAGTCTTTTTCAAGTATGCCAAACACACACTCTAACCCATACACCAGAATCTTTGACATTTGCCTTCCATGCCAGGAGACTCCCAGAGCCTAAGTGCCTTGGGAAGGCCTCTCAGACCCTGCCCTTCTCCCCAAGGTACCTCCACAGAGGATGCCCTCATGTCGCTCACAGCTGGCATCGTCACACTCGCACAGATGTCCAGAGCTCTGTCCATTGCAGCTGCAGTGTCCACATTGGCACTGACCCTTTCCGCTGCATAGGGGCCCTGTGCCATTGGGAGCCCGGCACCCAGATTCCAGATCTAAGGAGGACAGCTCAGCCTCAGAGCACTCACAGAGCCGGCCTAGGCGGCCGGGGGCACAGCTGGGAGGGGAAGGCAAAGGAGGGAAGTAGGTCAGAGGGTTTGATCACCCCTGACTTGTCTCTCCCAGGAACCTCTAAACCCAAGTTCTCAAGAGTTGGAGAAAGACAACTGAAGGAATAAGTATAGTGGAACACCGACGAGGGATGAGAGAGTGGGGGGAACCGCAGTCAGGGGGAGGGCCTGAACATATCTGGGAGGCTTCAAGGGATGAAATTGAGTGGGGAGTCTAGGGATGTCAAGGATACTCCTGTGGGGGGAATGGAAAGCAGCGGAGGAATACGGGCCAGGGTTGGTCGTTTGTTGTCAGCCAGCTGGGTGAAGGGAAGAGGAGGCCCTCACCTGCATACCCCACATTGTAGGTGTCCCTGGCCATCACTGCAGTGGGGAGCCTGGGCCTGGGTGTCACTGCAGTTACAGTCACACAGCGTGTGCAACTCCACAGTCAGCTCCTCTGAGAAGCCAAGGGCCCGGAGCCTCAGGAGATGGGGCTCTGGGAGGCAGTGGGTGGCTTGGAGGGAAACCCAGAAAGTCACCTAAGAACAGGGTAGGCAGGAATCAGGCCATGGTTATACAAACACACACACACCAAACTCACCCAGAACCTCACCCCTTAGTAAATGAAGAGATGGGGTCATGGTAACATCCAACTCCTAGAAACTTTACCTGAGGAAGCCACTCAGACTACTTCAGGAAGGATGGATGGAGGATTACCCCAGGCTCTCCCATCACTCCCCATTCCTGCCCCCCATCTTTCCCTGCCTGCTTAATTTCCCACTCCCACCTCCCACTGCCCGCCCGCCTTCTGCCTGTGCTTGCTGGCTCTCACCGTCTGGTTGATTCGGACATGGTTGCACTGTCCTCGATCCTCAGCCTTACCCTCCGTCTTCTCAGGACCCTCACACTGGGATTCGTAAGAAATGTGGACCCCAGGAGGGAGTGAAGAGTGTTCAAGGGTCACAGTGGAAGACAGGCTCTATGGGAAGAGAGCAAGTGGATAACCACGTGAAGGCAGGAAAAGACCCCACCCCCACCTTATGTCCTCTCCAGGTGTTCCCAGTTCTGCCAGCACCCTGCCCTCTGCCACCTGGGGCTCCTTACATTCTGCCCAGTCGAGGCATTTCTGGAGGGAGGCCCCATGAGAACCTTGCATAGAATATACAGGATCCAGAGGCCTCTAATACAGCATTTCAGTGCAGAGACCATGTTTGTGAAGCCCCACATCAGGACACATAACCTGGGTGCATGCCAGGTCTAAAGGGCAAATTCATTACAGAGTTTGTCTTGGGAAATTTGATACCGTCTCAGATTTTTTTGCCATAGGTTTAGGAGATGCTCCGTTATCAGGAAGCCTACAGCCTAGTTGCAGAGATAAGACCTAAACCACTAAGAGTTTTTATGGTTCCTTCTACCTGTAAAATTCTATGGTTCTTGTGAAAAATAGCTCTGAATTATTTATAAACATAGTGAAAGCAGGCTCCAGATCTCACATTGTTTATGTACAGACTGGGGAAAAATGCCAGCCCTTCTGTTTGTTATCTTTGTGACCTTGGACAAGTCACTTAGCCTTGTGTGGGTTTCCTCCTCTGTAAAAGAGGGATGATAACAGTTACGAAGCAAGGCTTTTGGCGGGGTTAAATGAAGTAGAAACAGTATGTACACCTAGGATGGTGGGTGCGTGAAATAAAAGCTCAGTGACTGAAACTTTCCTGGCAGGCTGCACTCTGCCAGGTGAGGAGGTGGGGCGGGGATCTGAGCTCCATGCTCTCTGCACGTCAGATGTTTAAGATTTATGAATGTAAGATTGAACAATTAATGACAGCCACATGCAGACTATAGGTAGGAGCTGTGGAATGTTAGACCAAAAAGTGACCATTTCCCCTTAGTTCTGCCACCCCACCCAAGGGCCCCTTTCCACCTTTCCCTAGTGCCCACCCTCACCATCTCCCCCTCGTTTGGCCCCTCACATTATAAGCATCCATGATGAGCTGTACCACATTGCTGGAGTCCTCACTCAGCTCCCCTACCGCAGACTTAGGAATCAGCTTACTCAGCTCCTGAGTTATGGGGAGTTAAGGGAAATGGTAGGTCACAGCTCTAGGAAAATGGGCTCCTGGGGGTCTGGAAGGAGGGCATATGGGGGACAGAGAATGGATCTTTGGGGGAATTGAGAAAGGCTGGGGTGGGGCTGGGGATCTGACATGTAGACAGCTCTCACCTGGTAGACAGGCAGTGCAGCACTGGTGACAGCAAAGATGGGCTGGATGTTTGCTGCAGAGAGGGCCTGGGCTACCTGACCCACAGAGGGGTAGTCCTGGGGCAGGGAGCAGGGACAAGGTGAGCCCCACAGGTCTCCCCCACAACATGCAAGGTGCCCTCAGCCTGGGGAATCCAGGAACCAAGGTTCCACCAGCTGGAGGAGCCCTGGAGGCTTGCTATGGAATAGGAAGGAGGTAGGGAATGGGGTGACAAAGCTGTCCTGTCTCCACAGCTGAAAGGAGGAACTGCTGGGGAAGAAGGCAGGTGTCTACAGGGTGGTTACTGGTGAGGACTGTAAGGCTGGGAGTGGGAGTCCTGGAAGGAAAGAGGTATGGCTCAAATGGGGAGAGGCGGGGTGACTATAGGGACTCACAAACTCTGTGCTGCGACTGTAGAGGCCATTGCTGTCCAAGTGGCAGTGCCCATCACTGGGCATGAAAATGCCACCCAACTTCCCATCCCCAGCCGTATGGAATGTGTCATCTGAAGTGAACACCAGCAGCCGGGACACATTTCTCCAGCCAATCTGCTCCTGAGGTACAGTGGGGGTGGTAGGCTATGCACCTGGGCATGGCCCTTGAGCCACCCCAGCCAGCTCTGTAAGCCAAGAATGTGGCAAGCCTCACTCTGAGTCAGCTTGTCCATCCCCTTGCCTCCAGTACCTTGCTTTCTCCTGCTCTCCCCAGTCCCCCAAAGAAGGCTGCTGCTAGTGGAGGCTTACTTGTGAATTAGAAAAACATGCGGCCGGGCGCGGTGGCTCAACCCTGTAATCCCAGCACTTTGGGAGGCCGAGACGGGCGGATCACAAGGTCAGGAGATCGAGACCATCCTGGCTAACACGGTGAAACCCCGTCTCTAATTAAAAAAAAAAAATACAAAAAACTAGCCGGGCGACGTGGCGGGCGCCTGTAGTCCCAGCTACTCGGGAGACTGAGGCAGGAGAATGGCGTAAACCCGGGAGGCGCAGCTTGCAGTGAGCTGAGATCCGGCCACTGCACTCCAGCCTGGGCAGCAGAGTGAGACTCCGTCTCAAAAAAAAAAAAAAAAAAAAGAAAGAAAAACATGCCTTCTCCTCAAGATACTCTCCTCAAGATATTTTACTCCAACCCACTAGGTAATTGTTAAAATAAGTATACAAACTACACCTACTATGGTATGAATGGCACCCCCTAGAATTGTGCACTATACAACCATAAGGGGCAGTCCCATTCCCAAACAGACCTCCAGGCTCAGATCCCCACCCCACCTCCTCACCTGGCAGAGTGCAGCCTGCAGAATGGCATCGAAGCCACCTTCAGGCGAGTCCAGATTGCCGGACACGCTCTGGCGCCCCACCTCCCGCTCGAAGGCTTGCGCATCCCCCGTCAGGGACAGCACATGGTGAAAGCTGAAGGGTGACTGGCAGCGCTCCAGCCGTGTGGGGCAGGGGTGGCGCAGCTTGGAGGGCACTGTGCTCACAAAGGGCAGCACCGTTTTGTCCACAAAGGAACCAAAACCTGGGAGAGGAGAGGAATGAAGGCTGTGCCAGAAGTCGCAGGGCAGCAACAGAGGACCCACGAGAGCGCTCTATGGGAAGTGGGGTGGGGAGGACGGTCATAGAAGAGGTGATGGGAGAGGGTGCACCCGGGGGCAGGGACCCGGTAACTGACAAGCAAAGCAGTGAGACCACTGGCTCAGGGAAGTGGCAGGTAGAGGACATTAAGAGGAGGACACAACTCCCAGGGCAAATGGGAACTTCCAGAAGGCGGAAGAAGGCCCAGGTATAGGATATGGTAGCAGCATGAGGCAAAGGAAGGAAATTTGAATAGAGGAGAGTTGGCACAGAATGTGGTGCCAGGGACAGTGGCATCTAGGCCTTGCCCAAGGAGACTTGCATCAGGGCAGGTTCCAGGCTGGTAGGCTCAGGGCAGTTGTCCAGGCCCAGAGTCTCCAGACGCTGGGTCTCAGCTAGACCTGTAAAACGGACTGTCTCTGGAGTCCTCTCCAGCTCTGACCTAGAAGATGGGTGTCTTTAGGGAAAGATGGAGGAATGAACCTGTGGCCTGGCTAGGCCTGTCAACAACTGGGAGGGCAAATTGGGGCCCTTGTGAGTCCAGGATGTTGGCAGAGGCTAAGGCAGTGGTTGAACAGGCAAGGGCTAACAGGGCGAGAGGCAGCCCTCGGCTCACCAATGCGCACAGAATGGGTGACTTCCTGCAGCCGGACGAGCAGAGCGTGCCCGAGCTGGCGCACGCGTTCCAGGTCGTCCTTCATGGAGTAGCTCAGGTCCATAAGGTAGTACAGGTCCACCGGGTATCCCTCAGCACGAAGGAAGCGGACCTGGAGCTGCTGGGGCTCTCCTGGGGGGTGGGTGGCGGGCGGGTCAGCAGAGCACATTGGAACGCCAGCCTAGAGCTCTGGCCTGGCCCCGCCGCCCCTAACTCACCAGGCCGTAGCGTGATCCGGACCCGCTGCGGCGCCAGCTGAGTGGCACCCTCTCCGCGGGTGCCCTGGCTGAGTGGCTGGTCCTGCAGCACCTCCTGCTGGCCGCGGGGCTCCTCCAGCTCCTCCAGCGGGCAGCCTCGAGCCAGCAGCTCCTCTCGTCGGGCGCAGCGCCGTGCCTCCGCCTCCCCCGACGCGGTGAAGTTCTGCTCAGCAAGAAAAGGCGCGTCGGGACCCGGTCCTGCACAGGCCCTAGGCCCCGCTACCAAAAACACCCTGCAAACTCGGCCCCCTCTAATGCCCCCACCTCCAGTCCATTCCCTGAGTCCCTGATTCCCTCTCCTCCTCCTCGCCACAGCTACCCTTGAACTCTGGTCTTTTTTGTTGTTTTGTTTTGTTTTTGAGACAGAGTCTCACTCTGTCACCCAGGGCTGGAGCGCAGCGGTGCTATCTCTGCTCACTACAATCTCCACCTCCCCGGTTCAAGTGATTCTCATACCTCAGCCTTCCAGTAGCTGGGACTACAGGCCTGTGCCACCACGCCCAGCTTTTTTGTATTTTTAGTAGAGACGGGGTTTCACCATATTGGCCAGGCTGGTCTCAAACTCTTGACCTCAAGTGATCCTCCCGCCTCGGCCTCCCAAAGTGCTGAGATCACAGGCGTGAACCACCACGCCTTTTTCTTTCTTTCTTTTTTTTTTTTTTTTTTTTTTTTTTTACCAACTGTAAAGACAGGGTCTTGCTTTTTTGCCCAGGCTGGTTTCGAACTCCTGGGCTCGAGAAATCCTCCTGCCCCAGCCTCCCAAAGTGCTGGGATTACAGGCATGAACCTGTGGAACTCCGGTCCTTTCTTCCTTGTCACAGCCCCACTTCCTATAGCAGTCCCCCACCCCTCCGCTTATCTCAACTCCCCCTTGCCCCAGTCACCTACCCCTCTCCTCCCCAATAGAGCCACAGACTTCCTGTTGAGATCTTAGAGACTTGACTACCACAAAAAAATGGGGGCCTTGCCTCCTAAGCCAGCCTTCCCAGCAAGCTCACACCAAAATGCGGAGGTGGTCAGACTAAGACCCACAGCTCCTTGGAAGGGAAAGGATAAGAACAGAAGAGGAGGCGTTCTACCCCCGTAATATGTCTGGTACCCCTAAGACTGGATGGGAAGCCACAGGGGAAGGAAATGGTTAGAGCGGCTTCTCAGCTTGCCCTGGGTGTCAGCTCCTGGTCTGGGGACTGGAGAAGCCAGACACAGACCTGACTACCTCAAGAGCTCCAGCTTCCCAGCTCCAGCCTGGCACCTCTGCCTCTGCCTTGTGCAGACTCAGTATCTACCCTTCTTGTCCTTTCAGAGTCACTATGTGCCTTTCTCCTGGGTCCTCTAAGCATCTGTAGCTCTGCTTCCATGTGAATTTGCCCTCATCTCTTATCTGGGCTCCCACACTGATCTAACCCTCCATCTTCCCCTGAGAGAGGCAGACCTGCCCCCGTCCCATCTTGGGCGCCCCTCCTGCTCTGCTGCTCCGTGAGCTCTGTCTCTTTCAAGCATAAACAAACAACAGCTTTGTTTGAAGAACCAGGGAGACGCCTGCTCCCTAGCATCCTTCTTGGCCACTTAGGTAGCTTAAGCCTTTCCAGTCCCCCTCAAGCCCATATACTTCCACCCCTCCCCTTTCTACCTGTCCAGTCATAGGCTACTACACACCCAGGAACAGAATGCCTCCACCCAAAACACAGACTTAGAAATCTAACTACACACTTTCTGCTATGGACTGAACTCTGCACGCCTACCCCACCCCACTCCCAACCCATTCTATATTGAAGCCCTAACCCTCCATGTGATGGCATTTGGAAATGGAGCCTTTGGGAGGTACCTAGGTTTAGATGAGGGCCTAAGGGTGGAACCCTCATGATGGAATTAGTGCACTTACAAGAACAGAGGCAGTTCCCACCCCGCCATCCTCCAGCCCCCTCCCTACGATGTAAGGACATAGCGAGAAGGTAGCCAGTCTGCAAGCCAGGAAGAGAGCCCTAACTGGGGAACCAAATCAGTCAACACTTTGATCTCGGACTTCCCAGCCTGCAACATTAGGAGAAATGAATTCCTGTTGCTTAAACCACCCAGCCTATGGTATTTTGTTATGGCAGCCCTCACTGGCTAGTACCTTTCTCACATGTTTACATACACAACAGCTCCCTCTACCTATACACAAGCATGAATTCCCACAAGTACATACTTTCTCCCAATTCATGGTCACAAATTCTCTCCATATATACACAAGCAAATGGATACAGACATAATCCTAAGTGCACAGGAAACTTGCATGCATGTGTATGCACACACATATATCCACACACAGGAGTCCTATGTGCACAAACTCAGTCACACATGAGACTCTGGAGTGTTCCTAGAAAATCATACATGTGCCCACACAATCACACACATATATCCAGGCTGCACATACACATACACATACACATGGTTCAAAGGCCATAGGCCCATCTTTACCAGTTGCTTGCACCATGCACAGCTGGGGTGTGAGACGATGCACTTCTGGCAGGAGGGGGCTGGCTGGCAGGACCCCAGCAGGGACAGGTGAGGATTCCCCCATTCTGTGGCCTCCCCTGTGGATGGGGTCTTGGCGTCCAACTCACTCTCACCTCTGCTCAGGACCAGCAGCAAAACAAGGACCACTGGCAAAGCCACCATGCCCTGTAATAGGATATAAAGGGGGACATGTGGGTCCTCAGGGAGGACCCTCAGCTCTCAGTCCTCTAAACTTAGCTTGTGGTTATCACTCTCAAAACTCTACCCCAACACTTTATCTCCCCTCATAGTTTCACTTCCCCTGTGGATTCAGCAGTTTCTTCAAAATGATGGGAAGGAGCAGGTATCAGGCAAAGGTAGGGGCCTCTAGACGTGGTGGCTCATGCCTGTCATCTCAGCACTTTAGGAGGCCGAGGTGGGTGGATCACTAGAGCTCAGGAGTTCGAGACCAACCTGGTCAACATGGCAAAATCCCATCTCTACGAAAAACACAAAAATTAGTCGGGCATGGTGGCGTGCACCTGTAATCTGAGTTACTCAGGAGGCTGAGGCAAGAGAATCGCTTGAACCCGGGAGGCAGAGGTTGCATTGAGTCAAGATCACACCACTGCACACCAGCCTGGGTGACAGAGCAAGAATTTGTCTCAAAAATAAATAAATAAATAAAATAGGGACCTCAGAGGAGATCTGTCCTTCCTGTGTGCAGACTTCATGTGACCAGGGTGGGCAAAATGGCCTACTAAAGGATCTGGGGACTGGTCTGGAAGCGCTAAAGTCTGCACCCAGTTCTATTTACCGAGATCCCAAGCCGTAATGGTAGTAGAACCAAACAGAAAACAGACCGGATTCTGGTACTGCTGCAGTCACTCACTGGCTGTGTGGCAAGTCAGACTTTCTCTCTGGGCTTTAGTTTCCACATCTGCAAAGTGGAGGAGTTGAATAAATAATCTGACATACTTTGCAGCTTTTACAATCTTGGATTCTAAATAAGAGAAGAGGGTCAGTGAGTGGGAATTAGAGAAAAGAAAGCTGGAACAGATGAGGAAGTGTGTGAAAGTGTCAAGGAAGAATAGTTCTACTTGGGTGACATGGTGGCAAGAGGAATGAAGATTAGACCACAAGAACTCTCTGCAGGTCTGGGATAAGGGGAGAAAGAAGGCCAGTGTTGGCAAAAAAAAAAAAAAAAATTCTATTTTCTGTACTTTGCACAAAGATAATCTAGATTGAAGAAAGAGCCTGGAGGCAGGGTAATTCTTCTAGTGACCTTTTGGAAAGCCAAGCAGATTCCTGATTTTAAAAAACATGTTAATTTTTTTAAATGAGCAGGTAATTCGTTTACCATGCTTCATAAGTCAAAAAGTTAAATCCCATTGGCCCTTTTTTTTGCAGAAATGGAAAAACTGATCCTAAAATTTATATGGAATTGCATGGAACCCCAAATAGCCAAAATAATCTTGTAAAAAAAACGTACTGCAAAGCTACAGTGATCAAGACAGCGTTGGCTGGTCATAGTGGCTCATGCCTATAATCCCATGGTGGGAAGACAGCTTTAACCCAGTAGATTGAGGCTGTAGCGAGCTATGATCGTGTCACTGTACTCTGCCCTGGGCAACAGAGTGAAACCCTGTCTCTTAAAAAAAAAAAAAAGGGAAGACAGTGTGGTACTGGCATAAGGATGACATAAGGATACACATATATTATACATCAATGGAATAGAATTGAAAGAGTCCAGAAATAAACTGTGCTTCTGTGACCAATTGATTTCCAATAAGGGTGCCAAACCATTCAATGAGAAAAACTGTCTTCAAAAAATGGGGCTGGGACCGGGCACAGTGGCTCATGCCTGTAATCCCAGCACTTTGGGAGGCCGAGGCAGGTGGATCACTTGAGGTCAGGAGTTCGAGACCAGCCTGGGCAACTTGGTGAAACCCTGTCTCTACTAAAAATACAAAAACTAGCCGGGTGTGGTGGTGTATGCCTGTAATCCCAGCTACTCAGGAGGCTGAGGCAGGAGAATCACATGATCCCAGGAGGCAGAGACTGCAGTGAGCTGCAATTGCACCACTGCATTGCAGCCTGGGCAACAGAATGAAACTCTGTCTTATTTTGTTTTGTTTTGTTTTGTTTTGTTTTTTTGAGATGGAGTCTCACTCAGGCTGGAGTGCAGTGGTGCCATCTCAGCTCACTGCAACCTCTGCCTCTGAGGTTCAAGCAATTCTCCAGCCTCAGGCTCCCAAGTGTCTGGGACTACAGGCATGCACCACCACACCCGGCTAGTTTTTGTTATTTTTAGTAGAGAGAGGTTTTCACCACATTGGCAGGGCTGGTCTCAAACTCCTGACCTCAAGTGATCCAACCGCCTCAGGCTCCCAAAGTGCTGGGATTACAGGCGTGAGTCACCATGCCCAGCCGAAACTCCATCTAAAAAAAAAAAATTAAGGCCAGGCATGGTGGCTCATGGCTCATGCCTGTAATCCCAACACTTTGGGAGGCCGAAATGGGCAGATCACAAGGTCAGGAGTTCGAGACCAGCCTGGCTAACATAGTGAAACCCCATCTCTACTAAAAATACAAAAATTAGCCGGATGTGATGGCACACGCTACCACTTTTTCTTTAAAAAAAAAAAAAAAAAGTGCTTTCAACGTGCAAAAGAATGAAGTTGGACCCTCCTGCCTCACACCACATACGAAGGTTAACTGAAAAGGGATCGAAGGCCTAAATATAACTGCTAAAACTATAAACTCATAGAATAAAGTATATGGGTAAATCTTCATAATCTTGGACTTGGTAATGGATTCTTACCTGTAATACCAAAAGCACAAACAAAAGGAAAAATAGATACATTGGACTTCATCAAAAATTTAAACTTTTGTGCATCAAAGACAATGTCAAGAGAGTGAAAACAACATACAGAATGGGAGAAAATATTTGCAGATTATATATCAGATGAGTATCCTTAATATATAACGAACTCTTACAATTCAACGACGAAAAGACAACCCAACTTTTAAAATGAGCAAAAGACTTAAAAAGACATTTCTTCAAAGAAGATAGACAAACAGCCACCCAGCATATGAAAAGATGCTCAACACTATTAATCATTAGGAAAATGCAAATGAAACCCACACTGATCTGGGTGTGGTGGCTCACACCTGTAATCCTAGCACTTTGGGAGACCGAAGTGGGTGGATCACTTGAGATCAGGAGTTCAAGACCAGCCTGAGCAACATGGTGAAACCCCCATCTTTACTAAAAATACAAAACTTAACCGGGCGTGGTGGTGCATGCCTGTAGCCCCAGCTACTCGGGAAGCTGAGGCACAAGAAGCGCTTGAACCTGGGAAGGAGAAGCTGCAGTGAGCCAAGATCGGGCCACTGCACTCCAGGCTAGGCGACAGAGTGAGACCCTGTCTCGAAGCAAAAGAAGGAAGGAAGGAAGGAAGGGAGGGAGGGAGGGAGGGAGGAAGGAAGGAAGGAAGGAAGGAAAACCACAATGAGATACCACTTCACTTCTACTAGAATGACTATCATCAAAAAATGAAAAACAGCGAGTGTTGATGAGAACATGGAGAAATTGGGATCCTTATATATTACCGTGTAAAGAATGTAAAATAGTACAATCTCTGTGGAAAACAGTTTGGTTCCTCAATAAATTGAGCGTAGGATTACCCTATAACCTGGCAATTTCACTCTTAGGTATATACCCAGAAGAATTGAAAACAGGTGTTCAAACAAAAATTTGTACAGAAATGTTCACAGCAGCACTACTCACAATAGCTAAAAGGTGGAAAGAACCCAAATGTCCATTAGCTGATGAATGGATAAAGAAAAGGTGGTATATCCATACAGCAGAAAGTTACTTGGCCATAAAAAGCAATGAAGTGGGGCGGGCACAGTGGCTCACGCCTGTAATCCCAGCACTTTGGGAGGCCGAGGCAGGTGGATCACCTGAGGTCAGGAGTTCAAGACCAGTCTGACCAATATGGTGAAACCTCATCTCTACTAAAAATACAAAAATTAGCCAGGCATGGTGGTGGGCTCCTGTAACCCTAGCTACTTGGGAGACTGAGGCAGGAGAATTGCTTGAAACATTGGAACATATCCAAACTAGAAAAATCCACAGAGACAGAAGGTAAATTAGTGGTTACCAGAGCTTGGGGGAAGGGGAAATGGGGAATGACTGCTTAATGGGCAGTTTCATTTTTGGGGTGATGAATAAGTTCTGGAATTAGTGAAGGTACTTAATGCCACTGAATTGTACACTTAAAAGTGGTAAAAATGATAAATGTTTGTGTATCTTACCATTTTAAAAATCAAAAAGTTAATCCTACCCCATATGCCATACCCAGTTTCCACACCTACCCTAAATGAATATCATTTATTACTATTTTTTTTCTTTTTTCTTTATTTTATTTATTTATTTATTTATTTTTTGAGGCAAAGTCTCACTCTGTGGCCCAGGCTAGAGTGCAGTGGCATGATCTACAGCCTCCACCTTCTGGGTTCAAGTGAATCTTGTGCCTCAGCCTCCTGAGTAGCTGGGATTACAGGTGTGAGCCGCTACGCCCAGCTGATTTTTGTGTTTTTAGTAGAGAGAGTTTCGCCATGTTGGCCAGGTTGGTCTCGAACTCCTGACCTCAAGTGATCCGCCCACCTCAGCCTCCCAAAGTGCTGGGATTACAGGCATGAGTCAACCTATCTTTGTTTCTTATAATCTTTCTAGAGGTTGTTTTATGCATATACAAATTAACATGCATATGCTTTTTAAATGGTACACTCAAATGGCACAATTCTTTAAATGGTAGAAAACACAATTTTTCACTTTTTTTTCCTGTAACTACTTTTTTTGAAGATCTTTCTACATGAGAAAATTAAGAACGTCCTTGTTCACTTTTACAGCCATAAAGCTTTCCATCGCATGGATACCTCATATCACAGTTAATCAGTACCCTAAGGATGTGCATTTAAATTGTTTCTTCTTTTTTCTTTTGAAACAGGGTCTCACTTTGTTGCCCAGGCTGGAGTGCAGTGGTGCCGTGATGGCTCACTGCAGTCTCCACCTCCTGGGCTCAAGCGGTTCTCCCCACCTCAGCCTCCGTCGTAGCTGGGACCACAGGTGTACATCGTCACGTACAGCTATTTTTTATTTTTTTGTAGAGATAGGGTGTTGCTATGTTGCCCAAGCCGGTCTCAAACTCCTAGGCTGAAACTCCTAGGCTCAAGTGATCCTCCTGCCTCGGCTTCCCATAGTGCTAGGATTACAGGCATAAGCCACTGTGCCTGACCTTAAATTATTTCTAGTTCGCTATGACAAATAACGCTGAAATGAAAAGTAATGTATTTATTTATTTATTTATTCATTCATTCATTTGAGAGATAGGGTCTTGCTCTGTCACACAGGCTGTAGTGTAATGGCGCAATCATGGCTCACTGCTGCCTTGGCCTCACCGGCTCAACTGATCCTTCCACCTCAGTCTCCCGAGTAACTGGTACTACAGGCGCATGCTACCATGCCTGGCTAATTATTTTTGTATTATTTTGCAGAGATGGGGCTTCCCCATGTTGCCCAGGCTGGTCTAGAACTCCTGAGCTCAAGTGACCCACCCTCCTCAGCCTCCCAAATTGCCATGATTAAAGGCGTGAGCCACCTCCCCCAGCCAAATGTCATGTATTTACCATTTCACACGTGTGCAACTGAACCTGTAGGATAAATCCCTAGCAGAGGACGTGCAGGATAGATAGATAGATATCATTTTCAATATTGGTGTGTATTTCATCTACATTCTCATGCTAAGAAAAGTATATATATGTTGGTGGGTATTGCCAACATAAACTCCTCGGTGCTTGTACTGGTCCACATTCCCATCAGCAGTGTATGAGAAAGGCCAACTAACTCCTTGTCATAAACCATTTGCATCTTCTTCAGCCTGGGCCAGAGTCAGTTCCAGATACTCTGCACAGAGTGTGGGAAAGGGGTGGGGTGCTGAGTTCTTGAACATCCTGGTGCTGCTCCCCACCACCTGTGACCTCAGGTGCCATATATAACGGAGGCTCCACCCCTCGGGGAGAGGCCGGCCCCAGTTCAGCCTCAGTGTAACCTCAGCCCTGCTTGCTCTGCGTGCCTGTGGTCAGGGAGGCTGGAGATGCTGCAACCCAAAGCCCGGTTTTGACTCATTTCTCTCAAGTGGAGCCCCAGCTGCCACATAGGTTTTTCAGAGATCTCAAGCCCACTCATCTCCCCTTAAAGGGGGCCCTGGGACTCCCTGGACAGCCGTTTTCTACCTTTCTTCCCAATTATCCTCTCTTCTCCCCTCCTTGGGAATACATGTTCTGCCACCTGTTTCTCTGCTTCTCTGTCTCTCTCTGGCTCCTTTCATTTCAAAACTTCTATTGCATCTCTCTGCTGCTTTTCTCTGCTCCACTTCTTCATAGGGCTGTTTTACTTCCTTTTCCCCTCTGTTCCTAACTATAGAATGGCTGAATCTTCACTCCATCCCACTCTTTTTACAAATGGAAACCTAAATTCCATGAGGCCATGAAGGGGTCGCCTGCCCCTCCACACCTGTGGGCGTTTCTCGTTAGGTGGAACGAGAGACTTGAGAAAAGACATGAGACACAGAGACAAAGTATAGAGAAAGAAAAAGTGGGCCCAGGGGACTGGCGCTCAGCGTACAGAGGACCCGCGCCGGCACAGGTCTCTGAGTTCCCTCAGTATTTATTGATCATTATCTTTACCGTCTTAGAAAAAGGGAAGTGATAGGATAATAGGATCATCGTAGGGAGAAGGTCAGCAGTAAGACATATGAATAAAGATCTCTGTGACATAAGTTTAAAGAAAAGTGCCGTGCCTTGATATGCGTATGCAAACATCTCCATAAACCTTTTTAGTGCATAAAGAGCAGCATTGCTCTAGCAAGTCCCACCTTTCGCCCTAAGGCGGTTTTCTCCCATCTTAGTAAATAGAATATATAATTGAGTTTTACACCGAGATGTTCCATTGCCCACGGATGGGCAGGAGACAGATGCTTTTCTCTATCTCAACTGTCAAGAGGCCTTCTTTCCCCTTATACTAGTCCTCCTCAGCACAGACCCTTCACGGGTGTCAGGCTGGGGGATAATCAGGTCTTTCCCTTCCCACGAGGCCATATTTCGGACTATCACATGGGGAGAAATCTTGGACAATACCTAGCTTTCCTAGGCAGAGGTCCCTGCGACCTTTGGCAGTGTATGTGTCCCTGGGTACTTGAGATTAAGAGAATGGTGATGACTTTTCACAAGCATCCTGCCTTCAGGCACTTGTTTAACAAAGCACACCCTGCACAGCCCAAAATCCGTTAAACCTTGAGTCACCACAGCACATGTCTCTTGCAAGGACTAGGTTGGGGGTAGGGTCACAGATTAACAGCATCTCAAATGCAGAACAAAATGGAGTCTCTTATGTCTACTTCTTTCTATACAGACACAGTAACAGTCTGATCTCTCTTTCTTTTCCCCACAAGGCCAGGGTCACCCAGTGAACTAGGGGCAGGGCAGGACAGGGCAGGGCCAGACCTCTGCTGTGCTTCCTCCTTTCCTCCCTCCAACCCGGGTACCATCTCCATCAAAAGTTGTGTTCTGTCTCCGCTAGCCCTGATGGGCCCTGCCTAATCCCATTTCTCTTTCCTTAGGGGTACTCTGCAGTCTTCCCTTCTCTTCCTGGGACCAAGTTGTTATTTCCATTTTTCTGGACTCCATTCTGACTCCAATACACACCATGTGGCCCCCTCAGCAGCTGAGAAACAGCCTCTTCCCAACCCATCCATACCTCCCAAGTCAAGCAGAACCCTCTGCTGCCCACTGGGAGTCACAACAAGGGAACGGAACTGAGCTGCTGGGCCTCAGTGTCCCAGGAGAGTGAAGTCTGTGGCCAAGGTGCCGATTAGGAAGGAGTTTGAGCTGAAGGCAGAGCATTAGGGATGGCAGCTGGGGTGGTGTTGGGAGAACCTTCCCTCAGTATAATCGGTATACCTACCCTACCTCAGTATAATCCTTAGCACATGGCAGGCACTCGAATGACAGCACTCGTACACATCCCTGCCTCCAGACCCACTCTTGGGAAACTGATGCAAGAGAGATGGGCTTTGGGAGAAGTGGGGGTGGGGGGGCTGTGAAACTGGAGGAGGGAAGCAGGTCAGGGGATCTTAGGAATGCAGAAAGGAGTTCAGAGCCTTTCTCAAGTCTGGACAGGACCCTCGATATCCAGGTCAGAGCCCTCTTCCCAAGAGGTTGGGACCAGGTGGGCCTGGGCTTGTAAGGAGAGGAGGCAGAAGGGCTGGTGCCCTGGTACTCACAGGTGCGTGCAGAGCAGCCCTTCCTCTGGCGGCGGCAGCAGCCTTTGTGTACTGGTCTGGGAGACTGCAGAGGAGGAAGTGACACTCCCTGGGGTGGGGAAGATTTGGGGTTGGTGGGGGTTACTGATCTAGAAGGTGGAGCAGATTGGGGTGGGGCTGAGCCAAGGGAGTGGATGATACAGAGATCTGGAAGAAAGAAGCTCATTTAGTGAACTCCTGTCGTGTGTTGAACGTAACATACTATAATTAACCCTCACAACAACCTCATGAGATAGGGGTTAATATTCCCCTAAGTCCCAATTTTACAGATGCGGAGATTGAGGCTTAGAAGCAGGAAATATAGAATTTTGCCCAAGGTCCCACAGCTAGTAAGTAGCTAGTCTAGGATTTAAAAAAAAAAAAAAAGAAGAAGAAAAAAGATTTTTATTTTAAATTTTTGTTACTTTTTGAATTTTAATTTAATTTAATTTAATTTTTGAGACAGGGTCTTGCTCTGTTTCCCAAGCTGGAGTCCCATGGCATGATCTCAGCTCACTCCAAACCCCGCCTCCCAGGTTCAAGCGATTCTCCTGCCTCAGCCTCCTGAGTAGCTGGGATTACAGGGGTGCACCACCATGCCCGGCAACATTCTATATTCTTAGTAGAAACGGAGTTTCACCGTGTTGGCCAGGCTGGTCTCAAACTCCTGACCTCAATTGATGTGCCCACCTCGGCCTCCCAAAGTGCTGGGATTAAAGGTGTGGGCCACCGTGTCCAGCCTATGTTTTTATTTTTGAGACAGAGTCTTGCTGTGTTGCCCAGGCTGGTCTGTAACTCCTGGATTCAAGCAATCCTCCCACTTTGGCCTCCTGCATAGCTGGGATTATAGGCACACCCGGCTGGTCTGGGATTTAAATCCAGGTCTGCCTGCCTCCAAAATTCATGATCTCTCTATTAACTTATATAGGAAGGAACATGATAGGAGGGAATAGAGGCAATAAGTACTGTAGAGAGGCGGGAAGTTAGAGACTCGTTCATTTTGAAAACCCAGGATACATTGGATTAGTGTGCTTGACTACATAGGCTCTGGAGCCAAGTTGCTACAGTTCAAATCCTGGCTCTACTACTTACTTGTAGTAAGGATCTTAGCTGAATTACTTAACCCCACCTGCAGCTGTTTTCTCATCTGTCAAGCAGGACTCACAGGATTGTCAGGAGAATTAAAAGAGATAATTCATATCAATTGCCTAGAAGACTACCTGGCACATACTAAGTAAGGGCTTGATAAGAGAATTAGTAGGGATGAGAAGTGACAGAGGTGAGAAGTGAAGAGGCTTTGAGAAATTCAAGGTCCAGACAGCTGGAAACTTGGAAGAGAGAGGCACAGGGCCAGGCTCAGAGCATGTGATTGGGGAGCCAGGAGCCAAGACAGTAGTGGAGCCTGGGAAAGGGGTGGAGGATGTGAACTGGGAGAAGCAGAGTGCAGGAACAATAGCTGAAGCCAAGGCAAGGATGAAGCCTGTAGGGAGAGTAGGAAAATATTAATGGGATTTGCTCCTGGCCCATACAGATCACTAAGAGCTTTGAGAGGGAACTAGACATGAGATCTGTGTTCACAGGTTGATCTCCCCTACCAGAAGGAACACTCCTTGTGGGCAGGGACTGGCTCTACCAGGCTTCCCTGCTGGCGCCACCGCACCTAGCCAAGTGCCCATCTTACAGTAGGTGCTCAATAAATGTCAGATGGATTGCAGAGGTGTAGCTGCTAGGAGGGGACAATTGGAGACAAGGGGCTCTTTCTCTGAGTGGGCTTGGCCGGCCTCAGGCTATGGAATAGCCAGAACCCATACCCTTCCCCCACAACCAGGGTTTACCACGGCAATGACCCTCCTTCCCCACAGGCCCTGTGGTTTCCTCTAGAGCTTCTTTCACTTTCTTCTTCTGCTTTCCGCCCTCCACTCTTCTCTCCCCTACTCCCACATCCTCAACTTTTTTGTCATATCCACAGGTCACCAGTGAAGAGAGCCAGGAACAAGGTAGGCAAGGCACTGTCCCAGGGAAGGTAGAACACGGAGGCAGGGCTTGAGGGGAGTCACAGAGGGCGAAGGGAAGAGTACAGGGTGCAACAGTAGAGGCCAAAAACACTGCAAAGGCGTGCTGCAGAGAGGTGTGTGGGAGCAAGGACAGATATTCGGAGAAGGTAACAGTGCAGGGGGCGGTGAGTGGAGGTCATGGGGTGAAGAGTGGGAACAGAGAGGGTGGGGGGAGTAAGCTATAAGGTGATAGCAGGGTGGGTGGGGACAGAAGGCCAGAGGGCTCCCTGGGTGAGGGGCTGGTGTAAAACAGAAACACTGTAGCTTAGATGCAGGTTGTGGTTCTTCTCTTCTGGGGCCAGGAACCCTCATAAGAACTAAATGAAACTTCAGGTCAGGCACGGTGGCCCACGCCTGTAATCCCAACACTTTGGGAGGCTGAGGTGGGTGGATCACTTGAGGTCAGGAGTTCGAGACCAGCCTAGCCAATATGGTGAAACCCTGTCTCTACTAAAAATACAAAAATTATCTGGGCATGGTGGTGCACTCCTGTAATCCCAGCTACGCGGGAGGCTGAGGCAGGAAAATCGCTTGAACCTGGGAGGCAGAGGTTGCAGTGAGCCAAGATCACGCCACTGCACTCCAGACTGGGGAACAAGAGTGAAATTCTGTCTCAAGAAAAGAAAGTAAATAAATAAAAAGATAAATGAAACTTCAATGGACTCCTTTCCCAAAGAAGAGCAGATATGCACATACGCATAATTGGAGGTGGGGACAGGCTTACAGACCTGTGAAGTCCATTCATGCCCTCCCAGAGATCCACAGGATCCAACATAAGAACCCACACCAGGCCAGATGCAGTGGCTCACGCCTGTAATCCCAGTACTTTGGGAGGCCAAGGCAGGCGGATCACCTGAGCTCAGGAGTTTGAGACCAGCCTGGCCAACATGGTGAAACTCTGTCTCTACTAAAAATTAAACAAATTAGCTGGGTGTGGTGGTGCACCCCTGTAATTCCAGCTACTCGGGAGGCTGAGGCAAGAGAATTGCTTGAACCTGGGAAGTGGAGGTTGCAGTGAGCCGAGATCGCGCCACTGCACTCCAGCATGGGCGACAGAGTGAGATTCTGAACCCACACCTGGTGGTTGTGGGAAACCCGGTCACTCAGGGTGAGTCCCCATGGCTCCCTTTCCCCCATCCTGTCCCCACCGCAATCCAGGCACATTTCATCCTGTTTTCTTCTACCAAGAAAGCTGCAAAGTCCAATCAATTACAAGCTTTCCCTACTCACTCAGCTTCCTCACCAGGTCAGCTGGTCATTTCCCTACCACCTCCTAAAGGGAGCCACATCCCATGAGTTTCCATCACTTTATTTTGCAAAAATAGAAAACTCAGCAATATGCAATACAGCGGGGTAGAGGGGAGATGTAAACAGAGGGGAGGGGACAGTACCCTGACCCCCCAAGAGAACACAGGGAGCCAATGGGAATCTTATTTGGCAGCTAAATACAAACTGGGGATTGGAGGAAGAAGGGAGGGGTCACAGGGGCCCTGGGCTCCCCCACCCAAGACCCCTGGAGGAAGGGGTCAATTCCAGGGTGTAAACAAAAGCTAATAAATAAATAGAGGCTTCCTCTGGGTCAGGGCAGGATCAGCTAAGCAGCATCCCCCCTCCCTGGGCCAAGCTGCTCTGGGGGGTAAAGGGTGGAAGGCACTAGGGAGAGAGGGATCCCCTGGCCCCTCTGTAGTGTAGGAGGGTCCCTGCCCCGATGGCTGAGATGGAGGGCAGGAGGAGCCCAAGGCACATGACAGGGCTGGGGGAGGGACTTGTAACGGAGGGCACAGGGTGAACTCTGCACCCGAGCCAAGAGGTGCAGAATGGACCTGCATCTATCTGTCCCTTTCACCCTCTGTTCCTGCCCCAGAAATGCAGGGCCCAGCCTGCCCCCACCTTGACCTGGCACAAGGACGGGGCACAGAGGCTAGCACACACCCTGCAGGTGCATCACACAGCATTAGGCACCAAGGGTAGGGGCAAAAAGGTGGGCTCAGCCCTTCTCCTTTGCCCCCTTTTTGGTCTCTAGTGTTCCTATTTGCTCCCAGAGAGCCAAGCACCTGGCAGAGGAAGGGGCTGTGGAATGGCAGGGTCTTCCTCTTGCCCTGGGGAGCCTAGGACCCTGGTACCTGAGGGGCAGTGCTGAGATTTTAGAGTCCAAACTCAGGCTCATCCCTCTGCCCTCTCTCCTGGTGGGAGCAGGGCAGGCCCCCAGGACTGGCGAGGGAGCCGGTTAGATCGGGAAGGGGATGAACACAGAGGCACCCCTGGAAACTTTGGCAAAAACAAGGAGCTCATTGGAAGGGGTGGGGAGAGGGCAGAGCAGGTCCTCCCCCAGTCACTGGCAGTCTGGGAGATGGTCAGTCTGCTGCCTGGAGCCCCAACCCCCACAGCGGAGAGGTCAGGGGCCCTGGTCAGGCTGGGGACTTCAGGCCCCCTTTGCCCTGGCCCCCGGGAACCTCATCCTCGCTAGAGGCATTGGGATGGGGACCAGGCTGCGAGGAGTCATCCTCAAACATTTCAGGGTTCTCCAGCATCTCTCGGATTAGGGGAGGCATCGGGCCTGGAATCTCCATCTTCAGGGTAATAGCCCTTTCAGCTCCTACAATGGAGAGGCAAAGAGAGAGGCTCAGGAGGACAGAGGCACATGGCCCTTCAGGCCATCTCCCTAACCTTTCTCAACTGCCTCTGACTCCCCTAGGGGGCGCCCAGCACAGGCCCACCACCTCTCTGTCCCCAGCTCATCCTCTTCTCACTAGGCTTCCTGGGTGCCACTCCTCTGCCTGGAACCTCTACCTGGCCTTCTCTACCAGGCCTGCTGCCTATTCATCCCATTCTTTCAGGCTGTCTCTTCAGAGAGCACAATGCACACAACTTCCAACCCCACTCCCCAAGTACCCCACTCTCGAATGTCCAGAGCTTGCCAGTTGTTCCTAGTCCTGGTCTCTTAATAACATTTATTACAACAGCTAATATTTATCAAACACAATGTTCCAGACACCCTTCTAAGCCTGGACTGTCCAATAGAACTTTGCAATGATGGGAATACAGTAGTCACTGGCCACATGTGGCAATCTGAAATGTGACTACTGCAACTGCAGAATGGAATTTTTAATTCAGCACAATTCTAAGTACACTGTATGTGTTATGGGGTTTTTTTGTTGTTGTGTTGTTGTTGTTGTTGTTTTAGAGGCAGAGTCTTGCTGGGTTACCCAGGCTGGACTGCAGTGGCTATTCACAGGTGCAATCATAGCTCACAGAAGCCTCCAACTTCTGGCCTCAACTGATCTTTCTGCCTCAGCCTCCTGAGTAGCTGGAACTACAGAAGTGCACCATGGTGCCTAGCTTTACATTGTATATTAACTAATTTAGTCCTCAAGACAGCCTTACAAGGTGCGTGAAGAATAGCCCAGTTTACAAACAAGATAAAAAAAGTAAAGCAATTTGCTGAAGACTTTGTGTGTCCAGATATATAGATATATGTATGTATATGTACTTAGAATTGTGCTGAATTAAAAATTCAGTTCTGCAGTTGCAGTAGTCACATTTCAGATGCTTAAAAGCCACATGTGGCTAATGACTATTGTATCCCCATCATTGCAGAAAGTTCTATTGGACAGTACTGGTTTAGAAGCAATTTGCCCAAAGTGCCCCACTACTATGTGGCAGAGCTAGGATTCCAGTGTAGATTGCCTGGATCTCGACTACTCTGTTCTAGTCTCTGCATGTCCACCTGTCTGACCTGGGAGACCAACAGCCCTGGGAAGACCGAGAGGGGACACCCACTCATGACTCACCCTTAGTGCTGATGCCCCGGAGGTCGGTAATTTTCATGAGCATCCTTGGGAACATGTAGGGCTGGCTGGGCCGCCGGCGCCGGGCATATAGCCTCAGGGCTTCCAGCAGTGGCTCCTGCAGCTTGTCCACTTTTTCGGGCTCCTCCAGGTCCATGCGGTCTATGGGGACAAGTATAGTGGAGTGAGAGGGGAAGGAAGAGATGGGGAAGATACAGTGACAGATGGCTGACCCCCAACTGGCCTTTTGGGAAGCCTGTACAGGGTTTGAGAACTCTGTGGATGGGGCCTGGTGCAAGAATTACCAGGGGAAGAGACCGCTGGGTCCTCCACGCCCCCTCCCAGTCAGAGATCCCGCATGGAGTGGTGGAAAAGGAGACTGAGCACTGAGCAGACGCCAGGGGGCGCCCCCGCACCTCCGCAGATGAGGCAGATGGCGCTGAGCAGCCCTGTCTCGGTGTCATCCATCTCCAGGGGCAGGAGCTGCCCAGCAAAGGCAAAGACAAGGTCTGTGAGGGGCCCGAAGCCGGCATTGTGCATCTGGGTCCGGTTCAGGGTCAGCCCGTCGGAGAAGGTCATAGTGTCCTGCTCTGGGGTGTACCTTGTGCAGATCCGCAGCATCTGAAGGTGGGAGGTGGAGGAGGGTTAGTGCTGTTTCTGAGGGATGGGGAAAAGAGGGAATGAGTGGAAAGTGAGGAGGTTAGGTCCCCAGTGAATGCAACCTGAAGCAGGCATGGAGAAGGCAGAAGTGGAGGATCTGAGGCTTGGCAGGGGTAGTCCTGGGAAGTCAGGAGGAGACAGGGCATCCAAAAGTCTAGGATCAGGTCATAGAGGGAGGGGCTAAGACAAAAAGAGAGCAGAGAAGTCCCCCATGTGTGGCAGGGAGTGCAAGGTAAGGAAATCTTTGCATGGATCAAGGAATTGTTGAGGGTCCCATATGAGGGTCGGGCTGTGGCAGGACCCACAGGGCCTAACTTACCAGGATATCTAGGCAGGCAGCCTTGAGCAGAGTTATCTGATCAGCAATGCTGAGCCCTGTAAAGCCAGGCAACCGCTTGGCAAACTCCACGATCTTGATGATGCACTTGGTGGCCAGCTCGCTGAACTTGTCCCACAGCCCCAGATCTAGCTGCACGCGGTGGTCTGCACTGGAGTTCTATAAAGGGGAGGGGTAGGAGGTTGGAAGGCAAGCTAAGGTCCACCTCTGGAGACTGTCTTCTCCCTACCAATATCCCAAGCTCTCTCCTCTGCATTCTGATGCCCTCCTTGGCCTCAGCACCAGTCGATGATAACCTCCAACATAACCCAGCCCCATTCCCCGAAGTGAAGAGTGCCCTGCCCTCACTGGGCTCTGCCCATTCCTTACCGTGGTATACTTGCCCAGCTGGCAGAGCGAGGGGAAGGTCTCCTGATGGGCTTTGCTGACCTTGGTGATGAGCTCTTCTAATTGGGGGCTCAGCTCATAGCTGTCAGGTGACCCTTCTTCCTTCACCTCTTTCTTCTTCTTGTTCCGGTCATTTCGCACAGCTTGTGGGTGGAGGCACAAGGAGAGAGTCAGGACCCTCAGAGCCTCCCTTTGGGTGTCTTCTCTCACCCTAATTTAATGTGCTCAGTCCTTATCATGAATATCTATTCTCTGACACTGTAATTAGTGCCTCAGTTTCCCTATTGCCTATATTAGCTCCTATTCCCAGGCTGGTTCTCCCCAGCCCCACCCAGGGCCTGCGGCCCCTGCTCCCTCCCCAGGCCATTCGGCTCCATCCTGCCCTTCCTGTCACCCTGCAGGAGCTGGGGGAGGGGGGGCAGGATATGCAGGAGGCAGGATATCCACTTATAGCCTTGGCAGCACAATGGTTGGGGGGGGTGGAGAGGAGGAGCCACCCCATATCCATCTCTGGCTCAGTCCAGGGGAGGGGAAGGGACTGGCAAGCCCACCGGCTTCATTTCCCCCATGAAACAGGGGGAATGTGAGACCCTACTTATTCACCCATTCAGAGGAAGGGTCAAGCTCCCTGAGAGGGAGAATGGGAAACAGTGGGGCCTCCTGGGTGAATGGAGCTAATCAAACAAGACTGGCCTGGGAGAAGGCAGCACCCCAGGGCAAGCCAAGTCTCAGAGGTCAGGGAAGTGGGAGTGGCCAGAGGAAAGACGGCCACAGCCATAGGGTAGGAACGGAGTGCTCCTGCCCAGGCCAAGGATGGGAGCCTACCTTCCTTGGACATGCCCACTTCGAAGCACTTCTGTAGCCGGCAGTACTGGCAGCGATTCCTGGTCACCTTGTTGATGATACAGTTTTTGTCGCGATGACACGTGTACACCATGTTCTTCTGGATGCTTCGGCGAAAGAAGCCCTGGAGTTGAGGGGAAAAGACAGGGTCTCTGAAGCACAATGCTGGGAGTACCATCCTCTCACTGGCCTTGCAGGTTGCCCCAGGCCTGACCTAATCTATTAACCACCTATGTGCAAAGCAGTGCTGCTCACACATAGCATCTGTGTGCCTGGTCTCTCATCTTATTCGGGTAACTGGATCCCCCGTCTGCCCACCCCCACCACGTACACACCTTGCAGCCTTCACAAGAGCTGACCCCATAGTGGTAGCCAGAGGACTTGTCATTGCACACGAAGCATGGCTTGTAGACCCGAGGAGGCGGAGGGGGCGAGGGCGAGCTGGGCACCATCTCCTCTGAGCTGGTGCTCTGTGTCTCCACCGCTGGGAGGGAAGCAGTGATGTGAGGGTCAGGGGAGAAGGACCCCACAGATATCCAGGCTTCCTCATCACACACGCCCCATGTGCATTTGTTCCTTGGCCCACCGGTGAAAGCCATCACTACCACAGTGCACTAGTCCCAGCAGTAAGCACTGTCAGAATCCTCTAAACGACCACTGTTACCACAGCTTGCTGTGACCCCTAGTCCGCCCTCCACAGTCTAACCAACTTGTTCACAAGAATGCCAGCCCTCACCCTGTATGACATGTTTAATCCTCCAAGTTCCAGACCAAGGCCATTCTGGAAATTGACTTCTCTGGGTCTGTTTCCCTAACTACAGGAGGTAGATAGAAGGGTTAAAGCCCTGCAGCTCTGAGCTCTCTAGTCACTCTCTGTCTCTTTGGTAGATCTTTGTCGGGTAGTCTACCTCCCACTGTCCTCCCTGTGGGGCAATAACTCTGGGGGCAGGTAGGCAATGACAGGCTTCCTGTAGCTGGCACTGGCCAAATGACCTGCTGGGATGCTTAGCAGGTAGACCAGGACCTCATTTCCTCTCCAGTCGTTCAGGGGGGATAACTCCTCAGGCTTCTCTCTCACACCACCCCTGAATAACTGACAGCGGAGCAAACGGGGCACAGGTCTCAGGGGAAGACGCACCACAGCCTTGGTTCACGCTTGAAGAAACTGAGGCCACAAGAGGGGAAGTGACCAGCTCAGTGCCACACCACCAGCGGATCCAAGTGGCTGTTGAGTCAGAGAAGCTGGGGAAGCGGAGACTGAGGTGTTTGCTCAGTTTCTCAGGTCTGGAAGCCATTGGAGGTGTAGCAAACTGGAGAAGTCAGGTGACAGTCGGTAAACGGGACTCATGGGGGAGGGGACCTGTTTCTGGACCCTCTCTGAGCTTCTGTCTTCACTCTGAAAATACCCAATTGCAGCTCAAAAGGGCTCTCAGCCCCACAGTATGGGGAGGACATGCTCTGCTCTGTTCAAAGGCTGCCGGTTAAGTGTGTGTGTGTGGGCGCGTGTGTGGTTGGTCTTCAGAGGTTCCAAAAATTTGTAAATTATTCACCTGTACGACCTGTTGCCCAAACCTGGAGGACCCAAGTTAATGCAAAAAAATTCCTAAGACCCTCCCTAAGGTGTGTCCCATGCACCCACCTCATGAACACCTTCTCCCCTCTAACCCTCTGCAGCCCACCTAGTCAGAAGTCCACCCCAATGCAGCCAGAAGGGCGGAAGGAATGCCCAGGATGCCAGGGTTCCAGGCTAGCTCCACCCACCCCACAGGAGGGAAGCCCTCCCCACCCCCAACACACATACATTCAATTAGCATAAGAATCCTGCCAGAGTGAGATTCCCCAAAGGAAAAAGAGAGGAGAGGGGGAAAAAAGGGTGCCTGAAGTCTATTCAAGACTAGGGACGGGGGCTCCAGGAGGGGCTAGTGCTGAGAGATGTGGGGAGGGCTGGAATGCCTTTCCCAACCTCTCACTCCTCAGATCCGCCACTGTGTCCTTCGAGGGCACATGTTCTGCCCAAGGCCTGTGCGTGGGGTGGTGCTCACTCTGGCGCTGACGCCCTCCCTGCCCGCAGAGCGCTGCCTCATTTCCTCTCTTGCGCAAGGGCCTGGGTGCGGTCAGACTGGCATGGGGCAATGCCAGCCAATTATAAGACTGGGGGCCTTAGGGAGACAGGCCCGGGGGCAACTTTTTCCGTCTAAGTGATACTGTCACATCCCCACCCCCTGAACCCTAAAGTGCAGCCTAGTGGCTCCGAGGTCAATCTGCGAGGTCAAGGCCCCAGAAAGCTAACTGGGTCTACTCCAATCAGATCCCCTCCCCAGCCTGGGGCTTGGACCCCACCGTAGGGATGCTGCTCCTGGGTTAGGCAGGGGCCCCTGCTGGGGAGGATGGGGGTGGGCTCTGGGGTTTTCTCCTTTTAAAGCCCAAATTGCTGAAATTGAGGAAATTCCTGACCAGGCTGCGCGGAGCTTCAAACAAACTCTTTATAACCGGCTGTAAACGCTCCCAGCTGCGAGGCCCAGAGCTGAGCAGCCCGGACTCACAATCTAGCACACACCTCCTTGGAGACACACATACTCACAGGTTAACAACACGCAGGGCACCAAAGCAGGCATATTACAATGGGCTTCTAGAACCCTCACTAGATTCTGGCACAGACGCAAAGTCAGAATAGAGACACACTCACTCCAGCCACACCGTGGAGGTAGATGTACCAGTCACAAGGCTGACACACAACACCCAGCACTTGGCCACACAAGGGAACAGCTCTACCGCCAGACAAACACCCCAGCCTGTGCACGCAGCACCAGGACACCAAAGCCTCCAAACAGGCACACACACACACATCCAGCCCACCCCCACCTCCCAAGCAGCCTTCCCTCTGAAAGTGTGTGGGGGCAGGCCTGAAGCTGGCTTTGTGTGTCCACCAGGATCCCAGAGGCCAAAATTATTGGTCCAAATTAAAACGCAAAAACCTACTGCCAGTCAAGCCCAAAGGGCTTCTTCCATAGGCCTGAGAAAAGACAGGGTCTCCGCCCAGCCCCCAGAAGCCCTACCTGGAAGATTCTTTCCATCTCAGCACCCCTACAACATACAACATACCCCAACTCCCCATTCTATTGAGCAATGAGAAGAAAGTTAAGAATTCACAGGGATTTGCTGCAAAGCAATAGTTCCATGTTTTCTCGGTTCTTTAAATGACACGCTTTTAATTCCTCCCCCACCCCACCCAAAAGTAAAGTAAAATAAAGTCCGGTCTCCTTGTTTGCCATCTCCCTCTTCCAGCTTCCCAGTTGTTAAATTTGAGCAGCTCTGCTCTGGAACCAAAAAAAAAAAAAAAAAAAA